CAAGGCCAAAGGAGACACAAAGGAAATCAACTGCCACAAGAAGATCAAGATTCAAATAAATGCTACACTCACAAAAGCAAAACAAAGCTGCACAAATGATTAAAAAAAGGACATTGAGGATTGCTTCTTAGCTTCAAAACATGATTATACCACCTTTTACAGAGAAGAGGGTTCATTTAGCACTTTGGATGCTTGCTGGGAATGATGCTAAAATAGCAGCTTTCAGAAAAATGGGTATTTCTGACAAAAAAATGAGAGCAAGCAATGTGCATAGGCCTTCATTTTGGACTAGTGTTTTTCAAGCTTGACAACTTTAAGATGTATGGACATCAAGTGCCAGAATCCCCAGCCAGCAGAGAATTCTAGGAGTTGGAAGTCCATATATCTTAAAGCTGTGAAGTTTGAAAAACACAGATTTAGACTTAGCAGTCCCATATGTACAAAAATTAACCACAGAAAAACAATCCCACTCCTCTCCAAAACACACAATATGTACTGGAATCCCCCCCCCCGCCCCCTTATATACCATTCAGATTCTCCTTGTTCTGTGGCAGTCCTTTCAAAGCATGGCTTAAAGGTTTTTAACCATAAGAAAGAAGATTCTATTTTAATGTCAGGGAAATAACTTTCTAACAGTAAAGACAGTTTTTCACAATGGAAAAAAATTAACAAGGAAACTGGCGAGTATCCTTTTGCCATGTCTCTTCAAACACATCTGGATTGGTGTGGTTTAAACTTGGGTTCATTGCCCTGAGCAAAAATCTGGGCTTAATGTAAGCAAAGTTCTGACTGCCAAGAAACAGGCATGCAAATAAAAGAGTGGGCAAAGCACTTACAAACATAGAAGTCGTGGGCACATGGTCAGACTCTACGTAGGGGTTTTTGTAGAGCCACATTTCTTCAGGCTGTATGACTCGATGGAAAGGTGGCAACACTTGAGTGAACCTAAAGAAAGTAGGATCCAAAAATGTTTGGCTCTACAGATTACAGGCTGCTCTCCATAGCATCACACTGCCCTTTCAGTTACATGTAATCGCACATCCTTGGTCCATGAATATAGCACCCTTTATCCCAATGTTTGTAAACATACATTTGTCTAACCCTGGGCTGTGATAAAGTATCTTTCTAATTCTATGCAATACAGCACTGCTTGTCATCCCTGTTTAGCTATCTTTAACCTTAACCCATCTTCCCCAGGGCAAGAAGAAAGGCTCATAATAATCAAGTTTATAATCCAAAAGACGACATGCAAAGAAAAGGGAGAATTGTGGTTCTTATGACCAGGTAGTACAAACCCCAATTTGTCTCTTCCCACCCACCCCCCTCTCTTTTCAAATCCATCTGGATCTCTTTAGGATATGCCTATAAATAGAAAATGCAAGGCAGGTAGGTATCAGCTGTCTTTGATGGAGACTGGAATTTTTGTTCCAGGCATTTGCAATTCAAGCACTTCCTGAAGATATGGCCTATCCAACCACTGTATCCATACCTCCCTGAGTTTAATTGCAATGTATGGCAGCCCCCTAGTTCTAAGGGCCACATCTAGCAACATAAACCCTCTGGCTGGTGGGAATTCTGGACCTCAAGGGCCTTGACATCTGGTAGGCTTTTGTCCACCGAAAGAACAGGCCAGCATCTATCACCAGCCTACGTATCCCCCCGCGGGATGCCCAGCCTGACGCACAGCGCAAAATGCCACCAAAACACTGCAGGTGCATCCTTCTTTTGAGGGCCTTCAGGCTACAGAGGACACGCAACCCGGCTCCGGTCAATTCCTAGCAACCACGACGCCGAGAAGGCCGCCCCAAGCTTTCCGAAAAGCCACGTAAATTCTTTCGCAAAACCGGAAAAGCTCTGGATGGGGAGGATGGTGAAAGGGGGAGGGAGAGACGAAGGGTGCCCACTGGCATTCCGGTCAGAGGTGAGAATGGGAACCATCCCCGAGAAGAGGGAGAGAAACGCCCCTTCCCTTTTCTGCTCCTGCCTCGCGACCCCCTCCGGGGACGGAGACCCTCCCACTCCTCGGCACTCACAAGAAGAGACCCAACAGCATCGCGCGCACCCCCACTTCCAGCAGCAGGGCCAGCCCCGCCCGCGGGACCGGACACATCCTTCCCTCGGGCTTCGGCTGCAAGCCACGCGGCGCGCGCTCTTGCTCGTCTCCCGGGGAGGAAAGAGGGGCGGAGCCTCGCTCGGCTTTTCTCTCCGCCCCCACCCACCCCCTCTTCCAGAGGCCGGCAGCGGAGTCAAAGCGGAGTGAGTCATCCATGCTGAAGTGGGAGAGGAAGAGCGCTTGGGGGGGGGGGCGCTGTTCGTTGGTCCCTTGCATTAACCCGCTTTGGGGAGGGTAGCAATAGCAATAGTTTATATAGCAATATAGCAATAGTTAGGCTTATATACCGCTTCATAGGGCTTTCAGCCCTCTCTAAGCGGTTTACAGAGTCAGCATATTGCCCCCAGCAACAATCTGGGTCCTCATTCTACCCACCTCGGAAGGATGGAAGGCTGAGTCAACC